AAAAATATTCACTAGTCGGGCGATCGCTCACTACGCTGATGTTTGCCTTGGACATATTCGAAGGATTGTTCAAAGTCGACAAAGGCAAACGTCCTTGGATCAATTCTTTACAAAACGCCAGGCAAAAAACACTTCTGAGAGAGAACATGGACTAAAAAGGGCAAAAAAAACGATGAGGACGCAGTTAAAAGTTTAATGACCATCATTTTTATTCTTTATTCTTCGTTTTTTACATTATGCACAACTCTCATTTATTGCACAATAATCTAATTGGAACATGTATTTGGTACATATTTTGATGCATTTTTATGCATTAAAAACATTTATGTCTGAATTTTGGGGGGCTTGGAACGGATCGGGTCATTTACATGGAAAACGCGTCTCAACTTACAACATTTTCTAGTTCAGAAATTTCTTCCAGAAACAATTAATTTCGTAAGTAGAGGTACCACTGTACATTGTTAACTTTTTTATGGATGCACTTATGAACGAACAGAAATGTGGAGAAACTGTTGGGAGATAAATTGTTTGGGATGAGTTTCAAGAAGGCAGTCCAGTCAGCGCACAAAGCAAGGTAGTGTGGTGTGCAAGAAGCCAAGACCCTCGACCTATAATCCCATCAAACACCTTTGAGGTGAACTAGACCAGGGATTGTGAGCCAACATCGGAGACCTCTGACCTCACAAGTGTTCTTCTGTATGAATAGGTCAAAATTCCCCCAGACACAACAACAACTTGAAGACTTTCGTAAATCTGCAGAAGGGGGATAGACTCCATAGTTTTTTGTTTTTTTTCATGTCCATGCAACAAGCAAATGTCCCAATACTTTTGCCAATATCATTTGCATCGACAATCGCAAGTATGAGCAGCTTCCCGGACCGCATCACATCGGAATTGCTTTATTGACGCATTTTTGAGTCAAATCTTTAAACGTTCACAAGACAGTGTTTCCTCAGTATCCTCCATCAGTCCATGCGCGTTGTTTGTGCAGGAGTGTCACAATATAGAGTACTGTCGACTCCCACGTGGGTTCTTCAGGTCCTGGGTGTTGCGGGATAAGCGGTGCCGATATATTTCTTCCCGTCGCCATAGTAAGAGTTATTCCACGTGTATGTTTGGATGATCAGCTCCTCGCCGCCCAGACTCAAACGGCATCTTGAGAAGGAGAGACAAAAATTGCGACTCACACCCAGCCAGTGCGGGCTGACAATGCATGATGACGACGCTCACTGTTTTCCGGGTCTGGCGATGTAACAGAGGCTGTAAATGGCAAAGTCAAATTCGGGGCTGCAGCCGATGACTGCGGAGCCCACCTGCTTGAAGTAACCGTCCCACTTGAACTGCATTCCCAGCACGTCCGGGAAGGTCGTCCACTGCGAGGAGGAGGACGAGTCAGAAGGTGAAGCAAGCGCACTTATGCAGGATAGTGTAGGATAGTGACAAACAACGAAAAGGTTTGTGTTTACAGGCCCGTCGAAGCTGTGGCTGTAGTAGTTCAGAAGCCCTCTTTTCTCAAGAAGATAAAACTGGATCCAGTTGTGGAAGCCTGACACTTTCCCGCCCTTGATCTCACCTGGAACACAGAAACATTTCCATTCTTTATATTCTGACATGTGCTTGGACTTCTTAAAAATGCTTGAATTTTTGTTATGTGTTCAAAGAGCTTGTAAGGTGAAGAAAGTGCGTTATAGTGCTTATATTTGGAACTAGCAAGCTCGATGAAAGACAGTTTTGAATCATATTGTTTCTTTTTCTGGTATTATGGAACTAAATGTGGTTTGTCTACGTCAGTCTTCCTCCCGCATATCAAAGATCAGTTTTGGTTCGTAGCACTGATGTCATACTAAATGCCTGAGAGCCAAATCGGGGCCACCACATATTTGGATTGGTTTTAGCATATTGAAGAAACCAAAAGTGTATCAAAAGAGAATCAACGTATTCCCTGCATCCTTCCGTTTTTCTGTGTGCAGCCCTTAGTGTCACTTATTTTGATGACATGACTGCGGTTCCAACCTGCAAAAATGTGCTCAAAACCACTGGAATCCAACTTCCCGTTGTTTCGAGAATACAGGCCAAACCACATCATCTTCAGGTCGTAGATGAACTCTTCCTCTGACGTGTAGACTCCTTCAAGAACAAAAGAATAGCTATTTAAAAAAAAAAACGTGTGTGTGTGTGTGTGTGTGTGTGTGTGTGTGTGTGTGTGTGTGTGTGTGTGTGTGTGTGGTGATGTACCCTTGGTGTACAAGAAGGCAAAGAGTTCTCGGCCCAGCTCAGTGTTGGACATGGCCTCCCTGAGGAAGACGTCCTGCTCGCCCTTCTCCTGGGAGCTAACGTCCTCCGTTTGTCCGGTCATCCTGTTATAGTTGTCCAATAGAGCCAGGAGAGCCTCATAGGTGGGCCTGGAGAACAAAGCCCCCTCATCCACAAAGCGGAAAAACCTGAAAGCATGAAAAACGAACTGGTGTCAAAGTGACGAGGAATAGAATTTGAAAACGCCATAAAACGATGAGGTTTTGCCTCACCGGCGAGAGGACAGATCTTCCTGGGACCCCGTCTGAGATCCTGAGATCAAAACCTGGGGGTCAATCTCCAACTGGGAGGCCGAAGCCCGGTTGGAGTCCAGAGCGTAAAGTGCTTCAGAGACAGACTTTAGCTCAGCATCGGTGATCACGGAACCACCGCCACTTTCGCCACCTGCACATCCACAGCATCGATATGTGACGTATGTCACCGTCGAACTGCATCCAGATAAACCGAGACTGTTTTATCTAGAGCTACACTGCCACCTGCTGGTTGCATATGGTAATTCATTTCTGTTCAGTTCCATTGGACACTTAGAGCGATGATGATGATGAGAATTTCACGACCAAGCCATCTGTACTGTTTTTTGGGATGTATTACTGTACATCTGTACAGAAGAATAAAGGTTAATTTGGGATTTGTAGTTACCTTTACTTTATTAAACAATTCTTAGTGACCATTTTTTTTCATCATGAGGGGAGCAATCGGCGGCGTACACTCTGAACTGGTTGCCAGCCAAACGCAGACAACCGAATAGTGTTCAACTCAAAAGGAACCATATTTCACACTAAAGTAAACTCGTGAGTCAATAAGATGAGTTCATCACTATTTCAGTGCATACTTTTCTTTTGTTAGATTTTTGGGGCGGTGTGTTGTAGTATTTTTCGAATGTACAATAAATCACTGCGGGAAACCCTATTGTCATATAACCAGTGTAATTCAGTTCAATTCAGAGTCCTTAATGTAAGTTTTTTTTTTTTAAATTTTGCTTTGACTATTTAATTTTTGCCTTTTGCCCTTCCTTCTGTGACTTTAAGGGTCACGGTCCATTGTGTGAAGCTGAGCAGGTGTTCTCCACAAGGCAATAGAGCAGGGTTGTCAAACCCATTTTCGTCGCGGGCCACATTTTAGTTACCGTTTCCCTTGGAGGGCCAATATGACTGAAATCATATAAAAAAAATCAAGAATAACGATTTATTCAACTATTGTTTACGTTACTTTGATGAGGTGTTTGGCAACAAGAAAATTTTACAATATGTGTCTTATTTATTACATATGAGAATTTGAAATTTTGCTCCATATTTTAGCAAGCATCATGAAAATTGCCATGTTTGATTTGCTTTCGCGGGCCGCATAAAATGATGTGGCGGGCCAGATCTGGCCCCCGGGCCTTGATTTTTATACCTGTGCAATAGAGCAACACACGTGAGTGACCTTGTTTTCTTCTCCGGCTTACCGTTGCATACATCTGCATAGTCGCTGCAGCAGTTGTTGTACTGCGTGCACTTTGAGTTGCAGTGGCACTTATTTTGGGAGTTGTATTTCTCATTGCATCTGCCTTTGCACGAAGTGGATCCAACTAAAAAAAAACAAAACACATGCATTGGTAAGGTGCTGATGGTAAGTTAATGTATTGACTTCCAACCAAGCTACAGGTATGAGAAATTCTCCGCTTTCCCCTCCCTTGGTCTGAAAATTATATTGAGACGTTTATATCTGACAGTGTTCCAAGACCATTTTAACTCATGTGAAAAATTGCGCCTTGGCTCAATAAAAGTTGCATGGGCCAGGAAAAAGCCCATTACATTTTGGCGAGAAATCGGATAAAGGTGCCGGTGCCTTTCTTTTTTCTACAGCTTTCGAAAGCAAGCACTTACCTTTACAAAGTTCTTCATAGTCTGAACAGCAGTCTTTGAAGCGTTCGCAGGATGGATTACATTGACAGGAGAAATCACTGTCAGTTCCAAAGCCACAGCGACTCTGACATGAGTCAAGAGAGTCTGGAAGGTAAACATGACACATTATTCTTGAGTGAGCCGCGAATAACCTTGTACTACTGCAGTGACAATCATGAAGGAAAGAACATCTTACTACTATGTGCCCGGCAGAGCAGAGTGACCCAAAGTCCAAAGACAGCAATGAGTTTCATCCTGACTCAATGGGAACAAGGTGAACGGACCGCTGCTGTGGTCTTTCTTTTATAGAGCACCACCTATGTCACTCGTCGACCAGCCCACGTGGCGGGATTCACCTCACAAGATATCTAAAAAGACCCCTTTTTGCACGATTCACTCAAGTATTTGTATTGGTTTAATAATTGTTCCATTTGGTTGACCCCAGATATATTTCCTTAATGTGCAAATAAACGTGCTATCTTTTCTCTGTGAAACTCCACACCTGCTTTGCACAGCAACACAACTTTAATGTATTTAAAAAAAAAAAAAAAAAAGGACACGAGAATTGAGCTGCGATAACTTTTGGAGTTTGCATGTAAATTTCATCGAAAGTATAAATCATAATGAGAATCAAATTTATTTATATTTAGGTTAAACTCTCATGTCCAATTGTGACAAATACAGAATATAAAAACGTGTACTTTACGGTTGTCCTTGTGACAGATGTTGTCCTTCACAGGTTTTTTTTTTTTTTTTTTCAAGGGAGCTCTGACTGAACAGATTCAATTAAGTTCAGTCACGTGCACCCTCCAGAGATAAGTGACTATTTTGACCACATGTATTTCCTTCCACGACAGTTGGACATTGCGATTTGCTCCCTTTGTGTCAGCGTAGTTAAATGCAATTGTTTCCTTACAATCAAACTTTAGTTGAGTTCCAATATTCTAGGGTTGCACAATCCACTGATAGTTATGAAGGGCGATCGTGAAACAGATTGTATCTGCAGCCACAGCACTCTCCAACTCTTCTCTGTTCGCACACCCTGGAGGGTTTGTAGAAGATGGAGAAATATAAAGAAATCATCTACCTTTTTAAAATAATTTAGAAAAATATAATGAATGCAACATTTTACTGTCTGATATTTAAGGAGGGAGGATGGTCTTGTTCTTGTGATATGAAAGCTGAAATGAGAAATAATCTCAATCTCAACACAAAATTTAAAAACAAGAAGTGAAGGCAATACAAAAAAAACCTAATTGAGCTCCACCACAGCCAGAAATACAGGTTCGAGCAGCAGAGCAAGAACATCAGCAATGTCGGGGTGGTGCCATCCTTTTGCATAAATAACTAAAAAGAGAAGAGTGCTTCTGAGTTAAAAAGCAAGGTAGTGGACCATTTTTGCAAGCGCCGTACAGTTCCTATGTCGACATATCAGATGATGACTTAAATTGTAACAGGAATGCGAGGATAATTTTAAAGAGTAACAATTTTAAAGAATAAACAAAAAACATACAGGGTATACTGTATAGCAAAAGAAGATGGTCTGCAGTTAGCCTCCTCGACGCTAGAGGGCGTAATACCACATCGAGAGCACACAAGTCTGACACTCTTCGGCTTCCGTAGACAGCGTGGATGTCAATGACATTCACATAGTAAGCTTTCGTAAGTACGCGCGTGTTGATGCTTGTAAGATGTCAGTAAGCTTTTTATTCAGGACTCTCAGTAAAGATTTGGCAAAGGTGAGTGGACTGAGATCAATTTCTGAAAGTATTTTCCTTTGCTACCGTAAGCTTTTGACTAGGTGGTTTGTTCGTTCGCCTACTTGGTAGTCCGTGTACCGACGTGCATGAAGTGGCTGTTTCCCAGAAACGTTTAATTGGCATACCATTTCACGTTTGAACAAAATAAATGGATGATTGTGTTATGTCCACTTGGCGCTGGTTTACGACAAGGACACTGGAAGATGGGCGTAACGTTTTTGCGCGATCCCTTGTCACCTTCAGGTCAGCCGGCACCCTTTGCACACAGCATGTCATCGTCTTCTGGCAGCTGACAAGAGCCTCCTGGTCAAACTGAGAAAAAGCACCGGCTACACCTTTATTAACTGCAAGAAAGCGCTGGAGAAGTTTGACAATGACATTGCACAGGTTTGCGTTCCGATTTCTTGACCGCACGTGATGCTCTTGGTTGGGGCTGTGCTCTTTCATGACTGTGTGTGTTCTCCAACTATATGTATCAGGCAGAGGCTTGGCTGCACGAGCAGGCCCAGAAAGAAGGTTGGAGCAAAGCGAGCAAGCTGGAGGGTCGCAAAGCCGGAGAGGGCCTCATTGGTCTCTTGATGAGAGACCAAGTTGCAGTCATGGTCGAGGTAGAGTCATCGCTTGCACATTCACATCTCACAATTCATTTGCATGTTTTCCCCTGTCCAACGCATCCCATGCTCTTTGTTGAAGAACTCGCCTTTCCGAAGCTTTTCTGGTCACAGATGTGTTTTCAATGTTTGCGACGCAGGTCAACTGCGAGACAGACTTTGTCGCCCGCAATGAGAAGTTTCAGCAGCTGGTGAAAGACGTCGCCTTCTCCACCTTGGCTCACCACCAAAATAAAAGCCAAAGTCGGACTGGATACCTCAAGGTGGGCCATGTGTGAGATTTTTGTTCCCGTGGCAACAGTTGCTCTCCTGTTTTAAGTGCCAGGGCTAAAACTACAAAGGAGTTAGGGTGACACTGGAAATGAAATATACGCTTGTGCATTTCAATAAATGAGATCACAGAAACGTGAATTGAGTAGTTTTATTCAGAAAGTGTAACTTATAAATGAAATAAACATGAAAAATGCTTTTCAGAAGACTTACTTATCTATATTAAAAGTCTTTGTTGATTGTTTCTTATGTACAGTTATATTCAAATATCTTAATCTTGTATTTGGGGGTTTTGTTAGCTACAAATTTAGTTTTACAATATAATACGGATCTGTGTACGAGGCCGACATTGTTAATTGAACGACTGAAATAAATCGAGTTTTCCCACCATAATTCATTGAGATGCATTTGAGTACGCTTGTCATTGCATGTGTTCCAGAGTCTCCTGGCATCTGACGAACTGAGGAAACTGAGTGTGTCGGATGGAGCCACCCTCGCCGATAAGGTGGCTTTAAGCATAGGTCAGTCATGTAGATTGCAATTGATAGCTTACATTAAATGGCTGTAATCACCGTATACTGTCCTGCTTCGTCCCAAGACCATTGGACTGTTTCATCAGTAAGTTTGTTTACAATTAGTAGCGCGACAGTAATTGTAAAATTAGTAACTCAACGCACGGACGTTATGCTGGTTGCAAAAGGGGATGTTTATGGTCAGGTTAGGTGTCGTTTCCGTGGTAGGGTTAATTGTGCAGTGACTTGATTGATGATGAGTGAGAACGGAGTCAAATTTTGCTCTTGGTTACACTGGATTGTAGAGAGAATGGAGCTCCATTGTCACTGTAATAGTAGTTTAAGAATACCGTATTTTCCGCACTATAAGGCGCTTCGGAATATAAGGTGTAACTTCAATGGCCTATTTTAAAACTGTTTTCATATTTAGGGTGCCCCGCATGAGAAGGCGCATACATTAGAAGCTACAATAGTGGCTGCAGTTGCGTTGTGCATCCACTAGATAGAGCTACACTAATTGAATACAATACATTCCAGCTTTATTTATGTGGAGCTTTCACAACTGCTGCAGCTGTAACAAAGCGCTTTGCAGAACATTTAAAATACTACATCCAAGAAATCTGAATATTGATCCATATATAAGGCGCATCGGATTATAAGACACACTGTTGGCTTTTGAGAAAATTGAATGCTTTTCGGTGCGCCTTATAGTGTGGAAAATACGGGTACTTGAGTCAAGTAAGTTGCATTAATACTACCCTGACCAGTACGACGTATACATTTATTATTTACCATGCATGAAATAGTGTAACCATACTATGTGTCCTGTCCTATTAGGTCGCCTGGGTGAGAACATGTCAGTGAGGCGGGCAGTCACAGTAAGCGTCCCCGCCGAGTGGAACATTGGCTCGTATGTTCACGGTGGCGTGGCGGGACAGACCGAGGTGGCCATGGGACGCTACGGCGCTCTGGTTGTGTTCCAGGGTGGAAAAGAAGAACAACGTCAAAGTTTGGGGCGCAAACTGGGACAGCACATTGTGGGGGAGGCGCCCACGTCACTTGGTAACATGGATGATCTGCCGTGCGGTGAAAGCGAGACGCGCCTCCTGCCTCAGACTTTCCTGGGAGACCCCAGCAGGACTGTAGCCCAGTTTCTCAAGGGTCAGGAGGCTCGAGTGCTGGACTTTGTCAGGTTTCACTGTGGAGAGAGCACTGGTGAAGAAACAAAGTGATGGCATTTTTTTTTTCTTTTCAAAATGAAATGTTCAATTATTTTTGTTTGAGACATCATGAATTTTAATGTTAATCATTTTTCATTGTCCATCGTCCCCTTGCAAAATGTACTTTTCCCACTCTGGACAAAGGGGGGTGAGGACGATTGGAGCACAGTACCAAAAATTATTAAATTTTTACAATGTAATTTTACAGTGCATGGATATTAGTTTGCTGAATCCTTACGGTGCTGAACAGCCATGCCACTTCGCCCCTGGTACCCCCGGCTGCGCCCCTAAATGAAATCTACAGAAATCTTTTGCATTCCAATTTCAGGAATCTGCTAATTTCAATACTGCCCAACATCACATGACAAGTTTTTTTTCTAAATGAATTACTATGGCAAATGGAGTCACAATAAATGGCCTTAAAATGACTAAAGTAGGCTCGCCCCGCGGGTTATTAATAATATGATGATGCTGAACGACGACGGGTGACTTCATTCGCGTTTGTGTTTCATTACTACCAAAATGATGTGATTTCTGCCAATTTACATCTTTTATTTCCAGCGTTATGCATACATTGCGGACTGTTTTCTCTCCCTGTGAGCGCACAACCCTTTTCAACAGCAAGGAAAACCGCTCTCACGGCTCTGGTTTCACCAGACAAATTGCAATTTACTTTCATTTGCTGTTTTGAGCCGAGACAGCCTCTTTGTATGTTTCTCGAGATCCAAGTGAAGTTCTTGAGAAAGTCTCAATACGTGTAGATAAAAATCCAAGCGGTGAACACACTGTAACTCAATGTAAGCAAGTGGTGTTTCTTCTTCACAAAATTATCAGTGTAAAAAATGCTGCATTAAAACTATGACTATAATGACTAATAAAACAATGACCAAACAAGTCGCTTCTTGCTCAGTGCATTGCAAAATATCTGAATAGACAATGTTTTTTCAAATTCTTTTATTTATTTTTTTCCCCCCACTCAACATTAAACCTCTTCAGATTTGGGGGATCCAAACTGCCAGATTGAGGACGCACTGAAGTGATGAGTCACTGAGGACATTTGGACATTTTTGTAAGAATAATTGCAAGAGCTGCTTCCTTCAGCTGTGTGAAAACATACAGGAACCGAACGCACAAAAACGCTGTATCATCTTTTCACAAAGTCCACGCGATGTCGTCATAACACAGATGCCGGTAACTTGACTCACAGCTCAGGTGAGATGTGAAATACTGACAAAACAAGTTCACCCGATGAAAGGGTTATACTTCATGGCACATTCACACATACACGGAATGGCACCGGAAATAAAACTGCATGATAGTAAGAAACGTTTACAGATTCTCAAGGCATGCCTTCGCACACATCCTCACAATCACACAAAGGGTAAATAGAGGCTACAAAGTTAACAATATTCCGTTACAATGTTGATATCAAAGAAAGATGATGGAAAAAAACAGTAAAAAGTATAAAAATTGATTGGATAAAAAGTGAAGATATTGTTGCAGATATGAAAGGATCCTTTTGTCTTTTTCTTTTTTTTTCTCCTTCATTTTGCAACTTCAAATGAACCGGCCAATCCTCTTCATTTCCACAAACAACACCAATAAAACTCACTGAGTGTGAGAGAACATGATTTCAAAAACAAAACGTTTTGGTTTAGCGATAGACGCAAATGACAAACTTTGCGGTTGCTGCTTCAGTCATTCCTTTCAGACAGCACTCCGGTACATTCCTCACATCTTAAGCTCCTCACGATGTCATTTTTTTTTTAAACTCTCCCAAGTGCTGTAACATTATTATTAAAGTACTTCAAAAGGTAAGTGTTTTCCTTGTCTGCAGGAACAACTGGCGGACACACTGTCAGTAATTGAAATCAGTTTTCATACAAATACACGGAAATTGTAACAGAAGACCCAGTTTACAGTACATAGTTTGAAATGGCATCCAGACTAATGTCAGGTAACATATCGATGAAAATGCGTCCTTCGGAGTGTCCACGCAATTGACAGGAGAGTTCCAATCCATCATTCGGTATGAAACGGTATTTAAGACAGCAAAAGGTTTATAAGTGCTTAAGTTCAATTTCATGGATGCTTCAAGTCTTAAAATGAGACCCAAGGAAAGATTAAAAGTGCATTTTTTTTTTCCTTACATACTTGTAAATGTCAATTAGTACCGACGGGGAACTCAAGAGACATCGAAAAGACTTGAGAGTTGAATTAGCTGCTATGGACTCTTGCGGTAAAAAATAAAAGCAACAAGATGACTCTTGGTTTCCTTCAGCACAAACACGTCAAGACCCTCATAGCTCATCAGAAATCTAATATCATGTAGTGTGAAAACCTTCTTGAGCCAATTTAAACAGGTCGTCTTTCCTCACATCAATTGTCCAGTTGGATGAGAACAATTTAAATGATTTTTTTTCTTCATGGCAATTTTTCATCAATTACCGTGGAGCTGGAACCGGAGCAGAGGTGTGAAGCGTTTCGACGGGTAGAGGAGTGTTGGATTCTGTGAGTGGCGGTGATGGCAACAGGAGAAAACATTGGATTGACTGTAGTCACACAGCTTCGGTGAATCAGAACAAAAGAGCACGCAGCTCGATTCAAAGGATTCAATGGCAGTTAAGTCAGTTAGCTGCTGCGATGCGATTTTGATGTCTCACTGACCGTGGTGTGAAGGGGCGCTGCCAGAGCCCGAGTGGCCGGTCACGGGCTGGCCCGGGGGGCACGGGGGTGACACGTGGGCACCCGGAGGCGGATGGGACTCCGAGCCTGACCCCGCGGAGGCCGACGGCGCGGGGCTGGGTGCCGGCTGCGGCGTCGGCGTGCCGGCGGATTGCTGAGCCGAGGCCGAGTTTTGAGAGCCCGAAGCGGTCTGAGGGGGATGAGGACCCCCGGCTTGGCTGTGCTGCTGATGCTGGATCTGCTGGAAGTGCTGCTGGCGAGCTCGCATTTCGGCGTACTTGAGCTGCTCCATGTGGAAGGACTGACGGTCAGCTAGAAGCTGCTGTCGCTGGTACTCCAGCTGGAAGCGTCGAGAAAAACAAAAAAAGAAACGTGTTCAAAACACATATATAAACTACTCTCTTCGAACAACACGTCTTCCCACAGTCCACCACTCACGGCCTCCCTCTCTCGATCCATGATGGTTTCCAGTTCTTCAAAGTGTCGCAGTTTGATCTCCAGTTTCTTCATTTGGGTCTCCACCAGCAGCGCCACCAGAGATTTGATCTTCCTTTCCTCCACTGCAGCCAAGTGCTGGTCATGACATAAATGACAATGACAGTCAAAGTAGATTCTACAATTCAGTATGGGATGGAAAAAAAATAATCACCATTATTTTGAAAAGTGAGGAGGAACAGCTACATATTAAATTAATCGCAATTAAAGAACAAGAAATACAAATAAGTGTTGCAAGTTTTGGCTGTATGCACTTTGGCCTCTTGGGGGCGTTGTGGTGCCGTGCATGCATGAGGTACAAATTTACGAGATGAAGAGTAGAAGAAAAAAGTTGCGAATTAACTTTATATGACACAGATTAGATAGAATATAAAACTGAGTATTATTATATGACTTGTCTGCACATTAACCAACTTGTCTTTGATTATCCGATTGCCTCGCTCTAATCTCAGTGAAACGATTTTGGGGCCCTCACGTACCTTGGCTTTGACGGCTGCCGCCGCCAGCGCTGATGCAGCGGCGGTGGCCAAGTTGCCCTCGCCCACATCTCGCTCCACCTTGGCCTTCTTTTCTCCCTCACTCTCAGATTCTCTTTGCCCTTCCTCGCCTTCTTTTCCATCCTTCTCCTTCTCGTTGTCACCTGAGGAAGAAAAGTTTTCCACCTTAAGAGTACTTTTTTTTCATGAGTGTGAACTTTTATGGTGTGAGCATGAGGTGTTTTGGCATGTCTGATTTATTTTGATGAATAAGAAGGTTCTATACAAACTTTTTGTGAGTGTGAGTATTTTTTAATGTGTGTATGTTTTGGGTGGGCCGAAGAGGTTTTTAGTGGTGAAGTATTTATATGATTGTGACAGTTTTTTTTTTTTCGCACGTGTAAGACTTGTGTGCATTTCATGTGTGTGAGTGTGTGAGTGTGTGTGTGTGTGTGTGTGTGTGTGTGTGTGTGTGTGTGTGTGCGCGCGCGTGAGAGAGAGAGTTTTTGGGGTGTGAGTGTGTTTATTTTTGGATATGTGAGGATTTGGTGTGGGTAGGTTAGTTTTTTTGTGCTTGAGAGGTTCTTTTGTACATCTGAGTTTTTTGAGTGGTTAGGTTTAGGGGTTAGGGTAATTAGTTAAGGTTAGGGTTGTCTTGGGTTAGGGTTATGGTTAGGAGTTAGAGGTTAGGGACAGGGTTTAGGGTTATGGGGTAGGTTTGGGTTAGGGCTAGTGTTAGGATTTAGGGTTAAGCGTTAGGGGTAGGCTTAGGGTTTGGGGCTAGGGCTAAGGGGTTAGGTGTTAGGGTTAGGGTGAGTGAGTTTTTTTAATTAGTGCGTGAGAGGTTCTTTTTGACCCATTTGGTACCCCATAGCCTTTTCCTACCCATTTCCGAGTCGGCTTTGTCCGTCTCCCTCTCGCCCTCAGCTTCTCTTCCTCTCTCCTCCTCTTTCTTCCCATTCTCTGTCACCTTGTCTTCTTCCTCATTCGCTCCATCTTTGCTGTCCTGTGGGAGGAGCTTCAAAGCGTGAGTCTTCTGACTGTCACGTAACAAAAAAAAAAAGTGTGACAAGAACGCATCCTACCTTGGCAGCCTTCTTCTCCTCGTTTGACTGGCTGTCACTCTTACTTTCGTCGTTGTTCTCATCTGAGACGGAAACCGTTCAGGCCTCCGTTAATGTTTTTAATTTGCCTTGTTGGATGATTGTGTTGTAAACACATGTTTCAACCCTACCCGTTCTCTCGCCTTCTTCCAGGCCGGTGCCGGCGATGCCGCTACCCTCGAGGCCATACAGAGGGTCCTGTCGCCCGCTGGCCCTCGCCGCCTCCTCCACCCGCCGCACGTGAGCCTCAACCAGGGCCGCAGGAACTTCCTCTTTCATACGAGAGAACTCCTCTGAGAAAGAGAGAGAAGGAGAGGTGAAGTTAATGCTGACATAGGGCTGGTGCTATCCAGTATTTTTACAACCAAAAATTCTACCGACTATCCTGTACACTGATCAGGTACAAGTTGAGTTCGCATTGTA